ATTACAGTCTTATTACTGTTCAATCCAACTACATGGAGATGTAGACAACGCACCTGCACTTTCACATTGGGTTAGCCACATCAGTAGTTAGATAGAATGCTTGCGAATTGCACTGAGTTCAAGATTCCGCTTTGGTCCTCTTGTACTGTCCTACTTGAATCGTGTCCAAAATTAATCAGTCGATGTTCATTCACTTTTCTGTCTATTAATGTGATTGCATATAATATGGCTACACCTTGAACTATACCAAACCAGTTTATAAAGGTCTCACTTCGTATGATATTTCCGCACATTCAAAGGTATTTATGCTGGATTTGAAATAAAGAAAAATAATTTATTTGTCATTAGGTACGATGCACTAAATACGCAAACATAAAATAACAATGAAAAACATCAGTAAAAAACAATAAAAACAACAAAATAAGAAGAAAAAACAATAATAGAGAAACAATGAAGCCAAAGGAAAAACAGTGTAAAAATAATAAAAAGAGCAACAAGGTGGTAATGTGTCCATGACAAAACGGTTTGCCAACTCAATATGAGCTGGGTATAGTACCCAACACTGGTTTATCATTTGCATAGCTTGATGTATAGCCGTGAACTGTCTAAAAACTGTCATGTCATACATACATCTAATGTATGAAAAAAAACAGTTTTAATTTAAATTATTTATTCCAATTATGACTTTGTCATTAACCGGTTTCATTCGAGTTATCATTTATATTAGAAGCATTTAGTTTTTGCCGGTAATTATTCAAAAAACGCTGATTGTAAGTATCTGCAATGATGTGTTGCTATCTGATCCGGAAACCTAAGCCGATACCACAGCTAAACTTGTAAATAAACTAGACAAATATGCTAAACACTACCAAGATTAGTTAAAATAATTCTTTTACAAACTAGTTATATTTAAAAAAGCCGACTTTAACACATAATATAATAAAACCTTCTCTTAAGTATAATAAACACCGTCTCAAAGAGCCATCAGACTACCACGGATGGTGCCCAATAGGGCTGATGCCGATTCGGAGTCGCGGAGAACCTAACGGGTTACCGGGGCTCCGGCTCGAAGTTCAGGAGAAGGAACGAGATGGTTTTTAGTCAGTAAGAGTCTGACACTCCCTCCCGCCTCACCCAGGCAGAAGCAGTCATTCGATGATTTTCCCTCCATAAAAAAGAGTAATAAACACTTTTTTGAAAATCGCATCGAATTCGGTTCAGCCAATCACGCGATAATCGCGCACAAACATACATAACTACGTACAGATCACACTGAGAACCTTCTTTTTCTTTTGAAGTCGGTTAGTTAATGGCATAAACTATCCACAGATAATAGGGATGATGACAGGGTATGAAAATTAAAAATCTAATTAGTCGGTCGGTTAGGTAATTAAAGGTTATTAGACAGAAGAAATATAAACTATAGACTAGAAGAATATTAGACACGTATTTTTTTATTTTGTCGTATAAGAAAACATTACTTAGATAAAACGAATCAAAATTTAGGAGTGGGAGGTAGCTACGTCATTTTAGAGTATTAATCGTACTTAAAAAGGACGTCATGCGCTATTTCTAATCGATATATTTTCGAAACTATTCGTTTCCACAAAAAAGTACATGTCTAATGTTTTTAAATAATCTACCAGACGGACATTAAAATAAAAATTAGTCTTCTACCCTATTAAATGTGCTAGAATAAAATAAACTTCACTGACTTTATAACTGTGTTACCAATGTTTGTTGACTAAATTAAAAGTCGTAGGTGTTTGCCCAGCGAGTTAGTACAAGTCGCAGCTGGGGAACGGTGTTGCAAGTTTGTGCAGTGTGCTATGCTAAACGGGTGACTAGAGAATAAACTGGACTAGATAATTTCTGGATTTAGTATTTCAACAGATCGTGCTTAAATTCCATTAAAAAGATGCCAAATTTTGTTTAAATGTTACGGTTTGATGTCAAAATTATGATGGTGTATTTTTTGATTGAATAAGCCGGTAAACCAGCGCACGGATCATCTGATGGTAAGCAACACCAGAGGCGTTATAGAGGGGGGTGGTTAGGATTCCGGTAACCTCACTCACACGACTAGAGATGGGATTTTACCCGGAAAAAACACGAATATGGGAAAAAACCGGGAAAAAACCCGGGGAAAATTCCCGAATGGGAAAATATTCGGGTTTTTTCATATTTAACACATGTAACAAATAAGTAATGTGTAGATTATGTACATATCATACAGTACGTACTATTTAAGAACTATTACTACAAGTTAAAGCTAATCTAACTTTGTTTATGTTCATATTGCAGTAATAACGTTCTTAATATCCTTAGGGACCTACTATCAAATGAAATAAAATAAAATTAAACAAAAATCCTGTCTGTTTGTGTGTGATCCTCCGCTCTTAGCGATAGGTAACCCGAAAATACGTGAGCTGGTAGAGGGGCAGGGAAGCAGGTAGAAGAGGGGCGAGCGCGTTGGTGATCTATCTATCTCACAAGTTGTTTCGGCTTCATACTGTGCGCACTCGTGTTAATTTGTTGGTTTAATTCACGACTTGGATTTTGTTTGGTGGACTTTTGGTTACCTAATCCTTTGAATTGACAACAACTGCTACTCTTACGGACTTTGATACCTACTTTTTTTACGAACGAAATTTACCGGTAAATTTACAGTTTTGTAACTTTTGTAAAGTATAATAAATTATTGTTATTAAGAGTATCTCTCGTTGTTTTAATTTTACTATTTTAGTCAAACATTATTTAAAGATTAATAGGTATTTTTTCTGCTGTTAACATTCCATCACAGAGCGCAGTAAAAACTTATTATAAAACAAGAAGACGTCTTTATGGTGTTATAATAATTATGCTGGTTATGTTTTAGTCCTTGAAAAAGACTACACGTTTCAAATAACAGGCAACAGCTAGTGCCTTATAATACACGCTGGTGCTAAGTACTACTCTGTCAAGAAAGTACCGGGAAAAGATCAATAATACAAAAAATGTCTGTTATTCATCCAAATTTACTTTATCACCTTTAAACTGTCAAACACCGAGCGGTCGGTGTTTGACAGTTTAAACTGTCACCGGTGACCGCAACCTATTGTTCTTTAATTGTCTGTAATTACGGTACTCAACGAGTTAAAGTATGCTCCTTTAGAGACGATACACTTGCGCCAACGAATAATCTATTCATCAAAACATTTTCTAAACGCTGCTTCCAGAATTGAGTTCAGTTGTCGCCGCGAATTCTCCTTTACGTCTTCTATCGATTGAAAACGGGTGCCACGAAGTGGTAATTTGAGTTTAGGAAAAAGAAAAAAGTCAGCAGGAGCCATATCTGGTGAATATGGTGTTTGCTGGATGGTATTTGTTGAGTGTTTGGTCAAAAATTCGTTCACCTTGATGCCACCAATGATAGCCTTGTGCGCTTTCTCGTGGTGCAAAATCCAAGAATTTTCTTTCCACAAATCTGGCCTTTTTCGTAGAATTTGTTCTCTTCAACGCCGCCATAAAGCTCAAATAATATTCTTTATTTACCTTTAGACCTTCCGGTAAGAATTCAGAGTGTCAAAGAAAACAGTCAACATGACTTTGACTTTTGATCGACTTTGGCGTGGTTTTTTCGGTTTCGGTTCAGTTGGAAGGCGCCACTCCGAAGCTTGTTGACTAGCTTGCATGCCAAACTCATAAACCCACGTCTCGTCACCAGTAACAATGCGTTTCATGAATGTTGGGTCCAAACTGACTCGTTCTAGCATATCCTCAGCGACTTTCATGCGATTGAGATTTTGGAGAAAATTTAAATCTTTTGGAACTAGTCGAGCAGCAACATGTTTCATACCCTTTAATGTATAGTATAGATCAGTTAAAATGGTACGGATCGACTAGTGAGATATAGAAATTTCGGCGGCTATCTCTCTCAGAGTTGAATGGGGATTTTCAGTCACTATTTCCTTCACTTTTGCGAAGTTAACTACAGTTGCAGACCAGAGCGAGGCAAATCTTCCATCACATCTCGACCGCTTTTGAACGCTTTGAACCACTCATAAGCACGAGTTTTTGATAAAGTCGATTCACCGTACATAAGCTTTCTGTAACATTTTCAGTGACTCCGAACACGAAATTCCATTGGCGATGCAAAATTTAAGACAAACTCTTTGATCGATATTTGTGTCCATTTTGAAATTCACAATATACATTATATATGATATTTCTGAAACCAGCGCTGTATTTAATATAAATAACAGATGCAACTCAAACTCCGCGCCAATATGGAAAACAGTTGTGCCAATCTAACAACTACATAAAAACAAAAATTTGAATTTGGAACATTCAAAAAAACAAATCAAAATCATCCATTATATAAATATAAACAAATCATCCATTCCCGATACTTTTTTGAGTGAATGTAGGTATATACGCATCACAAAGTACCTATTAATTTAGTTCTGAAAATAAAAATAGAATAAGATCATTATAAATGAAAATACCCGCCTATTGGGTTTTTTCCCCCATAAAAACCGGGTTTTTTCCCAAATGGGAAAAAACCTGGGTTTTTTCCCTTTGGGTTTTTTCCCAGTGCCCATCTCTACACACGACGAACACAACGCAAGCGTTGTTTCACCTCGGTTTTCTGTAAGGCCGTGGTATCACTCCGGTTGAGCCGCCCCAAACGTGCCGAAGTATGGCTCTTTCATCGCTCCACACTTACTTTGGTTCTGAACCGATTCACATTCGAAACCATTTAGATGGTTTTCGACACAATATTATGTTGCTTATCTGTTAATGAAACTAGTAGAACAATTTGTCCCTGCTTGTAATTGTGGATAAGTATTAGAAAAGGTTATAGTTTGACAGCATATTTTCGCCGGTCATTTTACAGTTCCAAAAATACTCAAAGACACAATAACTTAAACGATTTATCTCACTTTAATCCAACCCTCTATTTAAAACGTTCCAATAACTACCAACAGAGATAAAAAGAAAAAGTCGTAACAAATTACCTGTGTAGTGGGGTTGACGACAAACGCGCGCACGTACGAGCCGACGTACGCGGGGGTCGCTAGTAGGGCTGCAAGTAGCCATATGCCAATGGCTGTGGCTACTGTCAGTCGAGTGGCTCGCTTACTGCCGCCTGTGAACAAAGCAAATAAAGATACTTTTAATCACTACATAGTGTAAAACAAAGTCGCTGCCCGCTGTCTGTCTGTCCCTATGTATGCTTAGATCTTTAAAACTTCACAACGGATTTTGATGCGGATTTTTTAATGGATTTTTAAAATAATCGAATGACTGCTGCCGTCTGGGTGAGACGGGATGGAGTGTCAGACTCTTACTGACTAAAAACCACCCCGTTCCTTCTCCTGCACGTCGAGCCGGAGCCTCAGTTACCCGTTAGGTTCTACGCGACTTTTTTAATGGATAGAATTATTCTTAAGGAAGGTTTATATGCATAATACGTGCGAAGCCGGAGCGGGTCGCTAGTATAATATAATTATGCTTTATACCCGTGTAATGGCAGAGTAGAATACATTTATATCACCACCCCTAATTTTCCTGTGGTAGTAAGTAGTAATTTTACAATAATTGACTGCACGGTTGGTGCGGTAGCTGGGCAACCAGCTGCCGCGCAAAGAGTCGCAGGTTCGACTCCCGCACGTAACAACGCTTTGTGAGATCAACAAATTGTTGTTTCGGGCCTGAATGTCATGTGTATGTGACGTTGTATGTTTTTAAACGCACCCACGATACAGAGAAAATCCGAGTGTTGGGCAAAGTTTATTTAAAAAAGAAAAAGAAAAAAATAAAAAGAACGGACACTGGACAGCAGTACCCTCTGGTAAATCTGATCCATTCAAAGAGCGATCTCTAACTCGCCTGTTCAGCACTGAAATTATGTACTGAGCCGCGGAGGACATACTGGGTTACCAGGGCTCCGGCTCGAAGTGCAGAAGTAGGAACAGGGTGGTTTCTGTCTGTAAGAGTCCGACACTTCTTCTCGCCTCACTCAGGTGAGAGAAGAATTTGGATGATTTTCCACCTTCAAAAAAAAAAAAATGTAAATTATGGCAAGAGATTTTCTTTTGTAGATGAGGCCGATAGTCCAGCAGTTGACCCGTACGGGCAGTTGGGGATGATGCTTTGCGGTTTTCTTCGAATATTGAGCAAGGTTCTTGGTGTTTTAACTTTATTTCATTCAGTTAAGAATGAAAAACCGAAAAAGTTTGGACAAATAATGTCAATGTTCAAAGTTAGAGGCCAACAAAAACTGATATCTGTTCAAATTAAACTTAAAAAAAATTGCAAAGATTCTATTGCACTAATATCATGATTCTTTTAAATTTCTTCACATTTCGCAAACGACTATCATAATTCTTCAAAGTAAATATTATGAAAAACGTCTATCTACAATAATGTTATTTGAAGAGGCGCAGTGATCAATGACAGTTGTTAACAAAGGAGAAGAAATGCTGAGTTGAAACTGAGTTCAATGATATGAGATGCATAAAAACAAAACGATAAAAAGAGACCTTATATGCACGTAATAAGGCTTTTTAAATATTTAGAGGATACCCAACCCTCTGTTATGGTATGCGTGTTGCCGTGAGTGTAGACGCAGCACATCAACTACACCATACTAGATTTTCAACTCTATCTCAAATCCATAAAGTTTAAAACCTATGAAAGTACAATTGAAAATGTACGTCAACCGTATGAACGCGTGAGAGGCTCAGAAGTACCCAGTGCTAGTTTTCCTGTAGGGAAATGAATGCAAGAAAATGTGAAAAGCGCTACTGACGGTAAATACTGCTAGCTGAAAATAGAATACTAGTAAAATTGTAACACAAAAGTGCTCGTATGTTTTGTTGGGTTCTGAAATATTTGTATGGGATTACATTTTGTAGCAGTTTTTGTGCTACTGACTATTGAAACTTGTGTTTCTGTAAATGAATAATAGATTTTTAAAATTTAATAATTTTAAATGTGGTGTGGTATTGGTGATGATATTCGATTGGATTATGAACCTCTTATGGCTGGTTAGATGAATGTAAATTATCCTGTCAAGTTTTATAAGCAAGAAGGGGTAGTTGCCAGGGTATGGACATTAAAAAACTAGTCCGTCAGTTATAGATTGAACAAATTAGACACGTAATTTTTTATTTTGTCCTTTAAGAAAATAAAGATTTGTAGTGCATACAAGAGGACTACAAAATGTATCACGTTGTGACATTACGCGATATTTCAAATGCATCTATCGCCGAAAGTATTTAATTTTGTAAAAAAAGAAAAATCACGTATGTAATGTGTGAAATTAATCTACCAGACGGACATATAATTTAAAAAACTACCCTATTCTTCAATCATTACGTATTCGCGACATCTGTAGTGAGTTTTATTTTGTATCTTAAAACAAAAGTTTCTTTACAAATCGTAGGTAGGTACTCAAACTAGGTACCTAATATTCCAATTCCATTCTGACACTGAGTTATAAATATCAGTTGTAACAAATTGACGGCAGGTGGCGTTAGTGTTGTCAGACCCTACGTCAAGCGTTGCATACGTTACTAGAATACGTTAGTGCCATTTCTATTTTCCTCAAAATGGGACTTTTTGCCACATTCGCAAGGGAGAGTTTTTTGCTTACGTCTTGTGTTTGTGATGCTACAATTTGTAAGGTACAAATCCTGGATACCTAAACTTTTAATACTAGTATATCTTTTATGGTAGTAGAAGGGGAAGTCTTTACTACAGTATATTTATGTTAAGTTAGTAAACTTTATGTCAGTTTTATTTAAATTTATCAATACAGAAAATTAAGGTAATTTTGTGTTTACTTGGCACTAATTATTATTAAAAATACGGCTTCCTCACGTGAATATACTGAGAAAAGCTCTACTAGTTTCGAACCACGGAGGGTTCTTCATCATGAGCAGCGTGCGCGGTCGCGGCGACGTCGCGCAGCTCAACTGTGGTCGCAAGTGCGACTGCCGGGCAAGGGGTCTCGGGTTCGATTCCCGGATCGGGCAAAGTATTACTGGGTTTTTAAAAAAAATCTCAGTAGTAGCACGAAGTCTGGAACTGTGCATGGTATATGCCAATACGCTCACCCCTATTACATGGGAGACATAACATAAATAGTGAAGTGAAGTGGGTGTTACATTGTACAGTGGCATTAAATGCCGTAATGCACACCTCTGCCTACTCCTTCGGGGATAAAAGGCGTCATGTTATGATATGTTATGTTATATTATGGATTCAGCATTAATCATTTTGGTTGCTCAAGGCGTTGGCGCTTGAAGCGAATTGGTTATCCCACATTGAATACCTGTATAAAGGACTAATATTGTTCTGAGGGCTTAGTACGAGCTTGTTTTACGTTTCACAATATCGTATTCACCGCTCTGATTGGCCAGCTCCAACGAACCAACCAATTAGAGCGTAGAACGCAATTCGATTACGTTAAATTCGTACTAAGTCCTCTGAATCTAATATGTTCCGTCTTTAGATGTTTGTATTGGAATGCCATATGAAACACACCAATATTACAAAACTCCAACATTAATGTTTACGTAATGTAATATACAGGTCGATACTTTCACCTGCAACTCCTTTGAGCCAGAAATTAGTTCTAGGAAATGTTCGTGAAGGACATACTGTGCACCGTATTGGTTTCTCAAAATATTTGTACTGCAATTTTGAGTCAGGTTCTCGTGTCAAAACGTAATGTAGTTTCGTTTTATTCCCTAAAGGAAAGGTGGAGTTTATAGTAGATACACTATTCGTTCGCTTTTATGTTTGAAACTTCTGTGAATCTACTGAAATGTGAACGATATTTGACACTATAGTAACTCCTTTAGGAATAGTACTGTGATTAACCATCGCAGTAGGTTTTAAAAGTTATACAAGGTTTTGTTTTAAAGTTGCGTAGTTTTCTAGGAGGTAACTCACCTATCGATTCTGAGTCCGAATCAATAAAAATAATTATAGGTAAATATTTTTCATTTTTCTGTAAATTACGGAAATCCGTGAGTGCGAATTACACGTTGCCGTCTTGTAACTAGCTTTATAACGCGGCTTAACACACACAAACTCAAACACGTAAATGATATTATTCCTACTTCCATAAAATTCCAATAAGAAACATTGCTGTCGCTTATTCTGAAATACTGTCAAACTTAAACGATTTATTATAGCTGCATTTTTAACTATTGGCCCGAAACTTTCTCTTACATTGAACCATTATGACTTCTGTGACATGCCCCCGAGAAATGTCACGGTTTCAAAACTACACCTTGAATATGTAGATACGCAGCGTCGCTCGCGTTTCCCAGGAATAAAAGTGGTTTATTATTTCAGACCATAATCTACTCCTGTTCCAAATTTCACGCCAATCCCTTCAGCCGTTTTGGCGAGAAAAGTAACAAACACACACAAAGAAACATACCTCCTCCCAAACTTTCGCATTTATAATATTACTATTATAGGATAGCATAGGACAGATAGTAAGGATTTTTTTAAATTTTAAATTCCTCGAATGTCTTTTCCCGCCCGGGTGAGGCGGGGGAGAGTGTCAGACTTTTACTGACTAAAAACCACCCCGTTCCTACTCCTGCACTTCGAGCCCCGGTACCTAACCCGTTACATTCTCCGCGGCTCCGTATCGGCATCAGCCTTATTGGACCCCATCTGTAGTGGTCTGGTGGCTCATTGAAGCGCACGCGGAACGCCACGCGCCGCACGCTCGGGTCTGGTTCTGGTCGGGCGGTGAGCTACCCATGCTCGCCGTCCGCAGGCCCAGATAGTTAGGATAGGATAGTAGAATTATGTAACACTCACCTATAAGGAGTTGAATTTAAATGTTTTATGAAAATATGTTAATATAGATTGCCAATGAATTAGAATTTCAATAAAGTACGTATCTAATAAAACGAATACTTCCCTCTTCCTAACTTAAAACATTCCAAGCTGCAATAGACAGATATCAAATTTAAAAAAGAAACTAACCTCGGAATATAATTTTTTTGCGCTAGCAACAACCAAAAACAAATTCATAATTCATCATACTAACAGTTGTTATACAAACTACATAAAACATCAGTTAATTTTTCCTTCTACCTGCCTCGTAAGAGAAAT